ATCGCATGACTTCCTTCCGTCTGACATAATGGTGGCCCCCGTGACATAGAAAGGAGCCCTGACCTCCGCGAGATCAGCTCCCACATCGTCCGCCGTGTGGACAATGGTCTCTATGTCCGCGATCTCATTCTCTGAAAGCCACAACACCTTCACTGGCCCCTCTATCTATCTATCTATCTATCTATCTATCTCGTGCGCGCGCTATGGCGCAGTCTCTCTCTCTCTCTCTCTCTCTCTCTCTCTCTCTCTCTCTCTCTCTCTCTCTCTCTCTCTCTCGATAGTCTATTTCTCTCTCCTTCCCGCTTTCACTGTTCCTCACTCACTGCTCCTCTCTCGACGTCCTAGATCTACCCTGAATGCTACTACAGTGTGCCTTCCTGATCTTGGGTGGCTATGGCCACCCCGGGGAAMCTCTCCCCTATGGCCTAACTATGGTTGACTATAGCAGCCAGGCGCTGCGCACTTCTCCCCCTTGCGCTCCTTCCTCCAGGTCGCTTCATCGCACAAGTTCTTGCAGCGCTTCCACAATTCTGCAAAATGAACAACTGAATGCCTTCCGCACTGTAGCCCAAAACATATAGTTGCAGTGGGCTGTCCGTGCCTGCTTCAATCGGAACCAGCCTCCTGCAGCCTCTGCCTTTGCCATATTGCCTTTTGGGAAAGTTCCCGACTTTCTTTGGGAGGCTGCTGCAAAATTGAACTTCAGGGACTTGAAGTGCTTGCAGGTACACTGCAGCTACCTACCCACGACCTCATCCTACAGACCCTAGGCCTACACTGCCGGTACTCTAGCCTACCGGATTAACTGGGACCAGGACCTTTTGGCGACTGACTGTGTGAAATGGCAATGCGTGTGTGTGCGCACAAGGGAAGTGCGCATGCATGTGTAACTTGTGGTGTGTAAACCATCTTGTCTGTCTGGACCGTTGTTGTGTCTTTCGTTCAATTCTTTGTGCAGGCTATTTATCGGCTTGAAAATTACGAGTCGGTATTTGTGGCTGCGCATACGTCGGCAGGGAAGACAGTTGTTGCAGAATATGCATTCGCTTTGGTGACGAAGGTGTGCTCAATTTTGCCCTCTTCCCTCTTCGTTCTAGCTTTGATTATTAATTAGTGGCCGTTGATTTTTTTTTGTTTTTCTTTCCCAGAATCATTAATAATTTACGTAATAAGTACCCATTTGACATGTTATTTCTATGGGATAAAGGGTATGTGGCCCTTGAAAACAACCACATAGAAATAGCCCAGCGTTCACGGCTCAAATGATGAATCCAGTGTCAAAAAGGCCTCTGCTGGACGGAATTCCACAGGTCGTATCGCCCTTTTCCATCAAAAGCTCCCACGCAAAACGATCACAGCGAAGAATCGACTTTCAATGTACCCATGTCGTTGACGGGTATGGTTCTGTCTCTTATACACATCTAGATGTGTATAAGAGACAGGGATAAAGGGTATGTGGCCCTTGAAAACAACCACATAGAAATAGCCCAGCGTTCACGGCTCAAATGATGAATCCAGTGTCAAAAAGGCCTCTGCTGGACGGAATTCCACAGGTCGTATCGCCCTTTTCCATCAAAAGCTCCCACGCAAAACGATCACAGCGAAGAATCGACTTTCAATGTACCCATGTCGTTGACGGGTATGGTTTGGGCATTTTTTATGCTGGGATCTGAAGTACATCTTGTTCCACCTTCTTTTTTTTTTTTTGAGCAAATAAAAGCTCCCTGCTGCTAATGACTATCTTCTGAGGGGAATGGGGGAAAAAAAAAAGTTTACAAACTAATACAAAGCTAGGCTACCAGAGTGGCCCAGGACCACTTGCCCGGCAGGGCCAAAAATTAAAATAAAAATAAAAATAAAAAAGTTTTTGCCACTTTTTGGATTTTATTTTCTATTTTAAATTTGGATGAGAATCTCGATGTGACCCTGAGGCAAAAGTTGTTCAGTTTTTTTTTTCTTTTTCTTTTTTTTTTGCTGGGACCTTTCCGCGTCCTTGCAGGGCCGGGCCGTCGGGGAAAACAAGGTGATCCGGGGCGCTCTTCTGGTAGCCTAGACACAAAGATAATTTAGGGGAGAAAAAGGAAACACCCAAAACTATCAATCCTGTCCCTGTTATGATGAAGTTTTTAATTCTCTCTCTCTCAGAGTCTCTCTCTCTTTTGTTTTTTTGTTCAATGACAAACTTTCATTGCTTTAATTGGAAAGGAGGGGCCAGCCACCCCACAAAAAGGCCGGTGGAAAGGAGGGGCCGTTTATTCTCTCTCTTTTTTGAAGGGTTTTTTTTTTTTTTTTTCCGTTTCTGGTGATCAGGAAGTGACAGGAACCGAATGATGCCTCGCGAAATGGCAGCTGCAAAAATTATGCTTGTACGGTGAGAAAAACTGTTAAAAAACAGAAAAATAAAAAGAAAGAGAAGATGGCTTAATGACAAAACTGTTCATTCCACGAACGGTGATGTTCCATCTTGTTGCGGGAAAGGTTTATGACAATGCGTTTGAAAGTTAAAACAACTTTGGAACGAGATTAAAAAAAAAAAAAAGATATGATACCTTCTTCACCTGAATAGAACGCATGGTCATTATAGCTGTATTTGGGGCAACTTTCCGTCTACATACAGCACTAATGACCAAGAATTCTATTTGGGTCTAGGCTACCAGAGTTGCCCGGGTCCAGTTGCCCGGCCAGGCCAAAAAGAAATAAAGAAATAAAAAAATAAAAATGAATTTCTAATTCAAATTTGGTAATGAATTTCAATGTGACCCTGAGGCAAAAGTTGTTCAGTTTATTATTTTGCATAACATAGTTTTTTTTCGGATTTTTTGGATTTTGTTTTTTGTTTGTTTGTTTTTGCTGGGACCTTTCCTAGTCCTTGCACGGCCGAGCCACCCGGGAAAATAGGGTGACCCAGGCGGCCCGGCTGGTAGCCTAGATTCGGGTGAAGATGGTATGTCTCTCATCAGGTATCTGGTATTGAAGTTCGAACACACTCCCAACAAGGTTATAGCAGTCTCAAAAAAAAAAAAAAAAAAATGTTATAGAAGTCGTGCTCGCCAGTTCCATGAGCTGTTTTTTCTATAAAAAAAAGAAACAAAAAGAGAAGTCTATAGCAGTCTTGTCCGCCAATTCCCTGAGCTTTTCTCGGTGCATTAATCTGTTTTTTTTTTTTTTGTTTTTTTTTTTTTAGGCCTTGAACCTTATTGTAATTCTTGCCGTCGTATTTCTCTCATGCGTCCTTTTCCCCATCTTTGTACTGCGGATTCCATCGTCCTTGTCCTCTCCCCTTTATGAGCTTTCTCCCTCCCTCGCTCCCTCGCTCCCTCCCTCCCTCCCTCCCTCCCTTTGCTCTCCTCCTCCTCCTCCTCCTCCTCCCTGATCCTATCCCTTCCCCTCCCTTGATGTCTCCATTTCTTGTGTCTTGAGGTTACAACTTCACACCAAGTTGATAACTTGATAATAATTTTATTTTATGTTTTTTTAAGGGGGGGAAGTTTGATAGTAATTCGATACGAATTAGGATGCCCTGGGTTTCGACCTGCATCAGAGGCGGGACCAGCCCGGCCGTTTGGACCAGTTTTTAGTTCCGGTCGGCCCAGGACCTTGCAGTACCGGTACGTGGGAACTCGGTCCTGAGCAGATAACAGGTGCCTACAGGAAATTACGGTAGCTTTTTGATGCAGATGCCAACAGGTATTAATAGATTGAATGTGACGGTCCGACTCCCTTTGCACCTCGCGTGCTTGGAGTCAGTAGTGGACGGGAGGCGGTCAGAGGGATGGTTAGGGTCGGCAATGGTGGTGTCTGCACTGGCACTTAGCTTCTGTGCTTCGTGACGTTGTCACGGGCAACCATGCTACGGACGATGATGTTTTTACCTTTTGCAAGGAGGATGAGCAATAGCGAACTTCAGCAATCAAACAGCATCGTACACATGAGACCATATAGTCGTGACCTCAAACCAATAGCAGAATTGCATCACGAGTTTCACCAAATAAGAGCACACCAAAAGCTCATAATTGACAATGCTGGAATAGTCTCATCATCATCAACGAAGAACCAATGTTGATATCCTATCTGGCGCTCGGCGCCCAGACTACGAATGGCAGATCCTATCTAGCCTAGACTACAATGCCGCTGATGACGTCAACAGCTTCCCAAGTACGAGCATATCTCGGCCAATGCCGCACGCGTCAAGCACCAGGTATGCCTCTCATATGACTCACAACCTCGTTCCCCAACTCACAGATGCCACTTGCACTCAAGGACCACCATGCGCCCCATCCAGCATACAGCAGCGCAGCTTGGCTATGGCTGCCTGCTCCTTCCAGCTCGCCCGTGAGCGCGTGAGCCTGGCCAGCGTTAGCGCAGCAGCGCTTGCGCAGCATGCAGCCAGTGCGCGAATGGCCAATGTGTAGGCAGGCCCTTCCCTATATCGAAGTGGACTGCTGCTGCGTGCTGTGCTGCGGTACTGGGCCCCGGCCCAGAAGCTTCCGGTAGGCCCAGGGAGGCTGAGCCTCAGTCCAAACGAATGAGACCCAGGCCATTGACAGTTACCAGTGCCCAACTGCCCTTAGTCTGAGTTGGGTCCATGCTGCGTATCTCGCCCAGGGCCTGACTGAGATACATAGGATAAAGGAGGCCAGGGCCTGGGCGCCTTCAACCAACTGGTGCTGCGCAACTGCCTGAATTTTACCCCAGTTGCAAAGTAGTCCAGAATAGGCCTCTTGTCGTCTGTCGAGCCTGGCTTCACTTAGGGCGGCCGACCTGTTGCAAATAAGGGCCCGGTAGGGCTTATCGAGGCCTTGTGCCTCACATTCCCTCCTCCATACTTTGCTAGTCCTCAGAGAAGTTTAATCAATCTGGCGCTTTCCTTTCTGCAGTAACTTCTCATAGTGGGCGACAACCTGTGGAGCGGTCTGCATCAATTCTTCCCGTGTGAACCATCTGTCCTCCTTAGGATCAGTGTGATGTCTGAACCGAATGCGATACCGCAGCTTTGGTTTCGGAGGATATCCCCTGCCGGTAGATCTTGGAACTCGCATCTCTCTATGATCCACGATGTCATCAATGTCGACCTCTCCATCCATGGTTGGGGGCAGCATTGAGCGTCGCGAAGGGAACTCGTCAGTTTCCTTGAATGGTGCAAGCTTTGAGGCGTGAAAAACAGGGTAAGTGCGAAGGTGTCCAGGGATCTGTATGCCATATGGAGGTCCATCTGGTCTATCCTCAACTACATCCAAAACCTCCCGTGGTCCAAAGTACTGTGGCATGAGCTTACGGGATATCCCGTGCTCCTGTCCCAGTTCTGAAGCCTTGACCCAGACCCTGTCCCCTACCTGAAACATAGATGGGCGGCGGTGCTTGTTCTCAGATTCGATCATCGTCGCCTGTGCTTTGTGCATATGTTCTACTGCCTGCTGCATATGGCTCTCATATCTATAAGCGAATTCCAAAGTGCCTGGCGCAACAATAGGCTGGTTCTCAGGTAGCAGAAAAACAAGGGGGAGTCCAGGTTTGAACGTTAGAAGTAGGCTGTTAGGACCTACTCCTGTGGCACTATGAACTGCGTTGTTGTACAGGCTGGCAATGAGAGCCAGTTTCTCATCCCAGTCCACTTGATTAGGCTTAATGTCATGCATTAGCAAGTGTTGAACAATGTGGTTCATTTTCTCTGCCTGTCCGTTTGCCTCTGGATGGTTTCCAGATGTCATCCGAAGCTACGTTCCTTGTTCGGCAGCTGCGGCCTTCCACAGTTCACTGCTGAACCGGACATCCCTGTCGCTGATTATAGACTTCGGCAGGCCAAAGTCTCTGACCCAGTTTTCTTTAAATAGCTTGATAACATACTCGGTCTTTGCTGTTTCCGGCATGGCCACTAACCTAGCATACTTACTAAATCTATCCACGATGACATAGACGTAGCGCATACCGCTCTTGCTGGTGACCAGCGCATCCATGAAGTCCATGGACAGGCTATCTCCAGGCCTTTCCAGAATCGGAAGGGGCTTTAAAAGCCCAAGAGGAGCCTTTGTACGTGACGTGTCCCTCTGACAGACCTGACAA